ACAAAAAAATATTCCAATGTATAAAATAAACATTTTACGGTTAAAAAAAAATTTAGTCAAATAAAAAATGTGTATACATACATACATAGAGCATATGTACAAACATTATTAACACCACACACACATTAAAATGGTCACAGTCTGCTCTGATAACACGGCTGTGTCTAGTGCCTTGGAGATTTGATTTGGAAAATAAATATATTAATAGACAACTTGGTACTTGACGGAAAGTAGTTTGTTTAAACATATGTACGTACAGCTGTTGACAGCTAATTGGAAACGATGCTTATTTTGAATTGAATGATCTTTTTGCCCATAATTTGTTTTCTAATTTTATTTAAACATATAAAAAACTTAAAATCTTATTGAAAATTCATTTAAAAATTTTTTTTTTACAAAAATATGTGACATCCATGAGTTGAGTTCCACTCCTAAAATATTTTATAAGAAAAAAATAATAATATTAAGATAATATATTTACCTTTAGTTGGTATTTGGCTGCATAACTGCTTCGCATTTATGTTATAAAATTTCGACAGTGCGCCACTGATATTGCTTGCCATGCCGTTCTTACTCTTACAAAAAGTACATTCAGTGTTAGGATACTTTTAACACTAACGACTTTTTTAACGTCACCCCAGAGAGTTCTAGTTTGGACTGCGTGATGGCCATTCTCTTGTCATTTGATGGAATTTTCTATAAAAAAAATTCTTCGTCTACTTTGCTGTGTGATTTGGATTGTTATCCTGTTTAAAATTCCACATAACAGTCAAATTCAGCTCAGCCCAAGGCAACATGACATTTTTCAGTACGCCGACGTCTTTCTCCTTATACAAAACTCCATTTATCATATAGAGTGAACCAACACCATTCCAGGTAAAACATTTCCATACCATAATTGATGCGCCACTACACACGTCGTTTTCTTTGGATTTTGGTCAGAAGCGTTTTCTTGCTTGCTGCTTTTCCATGAAGTCCAGATGCGACCAAACGCCGTGCAATTACTCTCTTCGATAACCTCCGCGGGTTAGGGGTTCAAAAATTTAGCTGCGATAAGGCATGCCTGTCGTAAGAGGCGACTAAAATCCAATAGCTTCCGCGACAAACGGATTTTTATACTGGAACGACAAGGATTTTTTATCCGCCCAAGGACGGTCACTCCCACAACATTCCCCAAAATTTACTTTGAGGAATATTTTTGGACTTACTATAACCACAAAATTTCACGTTGAATGTCCGAGGAACTCTTTTTTTGGTCTCTCCGCGAGATCACTACTATCCTGCGGTGGTCTATTTCTATGTTTTCCGGCGCATTTTTATACGTGTGACATTTGCAACAGTTTTAAGATTTTGGATATGTTTTAAGCTATAGAAAACTTTCATTTTGAAGCCCCGACTTGCTCCGCAATTTGACTGTATGACTTTCCAGCTCTACGAAGGTCAAAAATAGAGCTGCGCAACGCAGATGTACAGCTGCTGTATTTTCTAATCAAAGATCTTGAGATAAAATTTTAATTGATTTTAAATAATAAAATTTCGATGAATACGAACCAAAAATTAGTAATATTATCAACAACAAGCACTTACAAGAGGAGAGCGTTTCTAATTAGTTGTCAGCAGCTGTACATGACTTCGCTTAAATACCAAATGTAGCCTTACTCATATCGCAAATTAATGTTGTTAATTATTACATAGTATTGACTTTTTTCAGTTTCATCAGTACATGCGCTAAAATAAATTTTTTATGTATACAAAAAACATAACAACAAGAAAAATATTAGTTTACAATTTAAAAAAAAAAAACAACCGCGCAGTAATGAGCACCGTCCGAGCATGGCTCAGACAAAAACTAATTTTTTCATATTTGAATTTTTTTCATTATTCATCCCCGACTGAACTTTTAATGGGACACACGTGTAACTAATTTAGTTTTATTGCTTCTATGTAGCTCTCTATGTGTTCTAATAATCAAATTCATATGAACTTTGTTTAAATAAAAATAAAACTAAATTTCTATGCGCATACATACATACATACGCATTTATTAATATTATTATTATTATTATAATTTTTTTTTTTTTGAAATTCCAGCTTAATCTAGTTGATTTGATTTTAATTCTCGCTTTAATGGACTAATTTGACAATATTTATTAAATTAGTTGTGTTCCAACAACAAATATTTATTTTTATTTAATTTTATTTGTTTCAAGTGCTTTAATCACTGATTAAATAGAATGGAAATTTTCGAAGCTCAATGTGGACCACCCAAAATCTGAATGTAGCATGTTTTGGTGAGTCTAACAGCAACTCGTACGCGTGTGCTTTGACCCAGTGAGAAAAATTTACATTACTTATAAGACACGCATATACATATATGCTTAATAGAATAGAAAGGAGAACGAATAAAAATAACTTTTAATTATCATTATTTTTATTATTTATATATGTATAGTAGAATTGGCGCTTTGTAACCGTTAAAGTGGTTTTGCGTCTTAATGTTTGTCCAACAAATTGAGGGACCTACAGTCTATACTAAGCCGCTTCCGAACGACTGATGGTTTTTTATGAAGATTTTTATTTTATTTTATGTCCGAAATACACTCGGAGGGGTGTATAATGCCTGCCTAGGGGCGACCGTAATTAGAAAATTTAACTTAATTTTTTTATTAAATTAATTTTCTATAACTTTATTTGGATATTAGTAGGAAAAAGGCGGCTGCCAAAAAAAAAAAGAAATATCCACGAGTTACACCCACTAACCCTTGGAACAGATACAACGCACCTTGGTATAAAGAACGCGATAAGAACTGCTTCAATATAGTCCCTAGAAGTTACGCTTGATATTAGGCCAATTCACCTTCAGTCGAGTATTGTGGCACATACTTCGTTCCGTTCGCAGGGAAAATTTAACAAAGAAAGAAAGAAAAATGAAAGAGTGTTTTACATTATAACTTGGTTTAGTTTTAACTTGAAGATATTGCCCCATGAAAAATATTTCATAAATTTTTTATAATAAAATACTAAGCCGCTTGAAAATAATTTTATTTCCATCAGATTTTAGAAACTACAAGGCAAGGACTTTGAGTTTTTTATGGGTACGTTTTATTTTTCTGAATTTTATATTTATATTTTAATTTTTATATAATATATTTTAATAATTTTCAAAAATTGAAAATTAATTTTTTAAAGAACGAAATTGATAGCACAAAAATAAAAAAAAATATCTCCATGTCAGATGGTTAGTTTTTCAAAAAAAATTTTAGTGAAATGACCTAATTTTTTGTATCATGAGTTGAGCATTCATTTATTTAAAAAAAAAAATGCTTAGCTCATTCCAGATTTATTTATAAAAGTTTTTTCCAGCAACCTTGTACAATAGAGAACAATCAGCTGAATTTATTTTAAGGGAAAACTCAAATCACTTCTGGCATAGCTGAGCAGTGACAAATTTTCCTTTTCATGACCCGCTCAAAAGATAGGTTGTAACAGCTGAGTCACTAAGTTTAGTCAAAATCTTTGCGAAATGTAATACAGAGTTGGTGATTGCCTTCAATTTTGTTATATAATTATAATGTTGAGGTAACGATTGATTCTAATCCACACGAAATTCTATTTATAAACAGACCATAGCTACAGTGCATGCTAGAGAGTATATCCGAAGGAACAAACGAAAGACAGACGGAATGTAATGCATAGGTAGCGGTAATCATTACATATGTAAAATTATACGAACTAAGATACAATCGCCACTCCACGTACTAGGGAGTAGGCAACCATGCAACCTGACATGATTATGTCCAACGAATTTGGTGATCTTCCATTAAATCTGTGAATTTTTACCAACAACAAATAAGAAATTGCAAGCCAACAGTAGTTTTGAATATTAATTAACTTTTGTATGTAAAATATTTCTAAACGCTCTATGTACAATAAAAGCACATTTAATTGTCAGTTCACCATCTGTTCAACTTCAATATTTAAATGTGTTTTAATGAGCACCTAGTTAGATACATTCCTATCCTAAAACCCAAGGCAATCAAACATTTAGCGTTGATTCAGTCTTCAAAAACAAAATAAACAAGAGGTGGCAGTTGTTGATGTTTATTTCTACTTAAATCAATTCCAATTAAAAACCAATAGACTTTAATAAATGAAATAGAAAGATTGGTTGGCGTTGCGCCAACTAAAAGAGCGGGCAGTAAAATAATTGGCGAAAGGACCTCTTTTCACCAACTAAATGCCACCATATTCAACAGAAAGTATATAATCATAGTAAATATCTATATAAAATTAGCAATATGGATAAATAGAAAGAGAACAACGTTATGTCTGACAGAAATCTGACAGAAAGAGTAAACTAACAGTACGCAATGAGGGTGAGGGAGTGAGTGAGTGAGTAGACAAAGGTTTGAGTAGAGGAAAATGCGAAGTCTCATTAGTTTTATTGATTTGGCGACAATGAGAGAATTATTACAGTTGTTGTTGCTGAGAAATTACTAATTGCAGATACAACGTTAATATTACATACATATATGTTTATGTGTTGGTGCGTGCACGGGAAAGTAGAGAACTGGCTAAAAGTGGCAACAACACATTTATGTGAAACACTGAATGACAGTTTAAGCTAAATTATATGTAAGTTTCATACATATGTTTGTATGTATGTATATGCACTAAAGTGCGAAGAGCACTGGAGTAATTTAGTTGTTGCAAATAATACAACAACGCCGAATAATACACAATTTACAACAAAATTGGCACATTACATTTTTTGGCATACGCTCGCTGGCTGCTGCTTACCTACTGCTCTCCCCAAAAGCAATAATGGCCAACAACGGCAACAATAACAACAATAACAATAACAACGGAAGCCATATGCAGTAGCCAGCAGCCTTTAGAGCGTAAAATACGGTAAATTTAACTGGGCAACGCCTACTGCGCTGCTGTCGCTGCAGCACCACTCTATCTACACGGGAATCTAACTTGAGCGAACGAGTGAAGGCAAAAGCAAATATGCAATTTCACGGTAGCGCAATAAATGCGCAAGGTAAATATTGACAGAGCGAGTAGACGCTACTAATTGGAACGCCAAACAGCTTGTTCTTTCTCGCCCATCAAATCGTATCGCGTAGATAAAATCCACAAACTCGTTTAAGAGAAGCCGGGAAAGACGTGTTTATGCGAAGTTCAGTGCATGTGTTTGGTCTTAGGGGTTGCTGCGCGGCTCAATAGAGGTAGACAGTTTTGGGTACAGCCCACTTGGACGCCATTCGTTGCGCTTGGCCAAGGAGCACCACTGCAAAAGTATGTATTTATGATTGTATACAAGCACATACATATGTATCTATATTTTTTTATTTAGGCTTGTAGGGAGTGAGTGCCTATTTCGTTGAACCGGTTGTACAGGTTTAGTTGTTAATTTGACAGTGTGAGTGTGCACGTTTTGATGAGATTGTATACTGTGTATATGGTTTTGTATTCGAAGAGCAACAAAATTGTACTGAGCGAGAGCGCGTAATCGGCCAAGTGTGTACTACGAGCATCGGACGGATACTTGGTGCGGCAGCGGTACACAGTTGTGGTTTATTCTGACATCGATTGTCGTTGAGTGAACACGTAAAACGCGCGTCGAAAAGATTTTTCGCAAAAAAAAAAGATTGAAATAAAACACAAATATTTCAAAACGTACGGATTCGTGAGTGAGTCGTTACTTAAATAAAAAAAAATAAAACAGATAAAAGAAAATGGTTTAATAAAACAAACAAATGTTAAAAATATATGCATTTATGTATATGTAAACAATATCAATTAGCAAACAAGAGCCTATCAGAAAATACAGTGCAGTGCTCTAAAAACATACAATGCAAAAGTGAACACAAATAATTATTCCATCAGCAATTAAAGACAGTTGGCGCTAGTTTGCCAAGAAAAAGAGTGAATACAAAAGAAAAAGAAACAAAAACTTTTTTTTTTATAAAACACTTGCATCTGTCAACAGCCGCAAAAATTGCCGAAATAATTGCAGCCTCGCCTTACCAACAGCAACCAAAGCCTTCCCCTCCAGCTTCTGCAGCAGCCGCGCAAACACAATTATTTATGACTAAAATGATTCCGCCGCTGCCCACTTCAGCCGTTCTAATGCCTACGCCAAAGCAGAAGATCGGCTTCAGCATCGAATCGATTGTGGGTAATGATACAGTAGCCGCTTCGCCGCCACAAAGTGCCGTCGGCAGCAATCAACAGCTTGGCGAGCAACTTCATGCAACAAATACAGCGAATAGCACAAGTGGCCCCGGCTCACCGCCACAGACACCACCTGCTATGCCAACAAATTCAAACGTCACGCAATTGCCAGGTGCGGCGCATCTTACCATGCAACTTCCACTACCACTAACACCGAACGCGCAACCACATCACATGCACGCTCACTTACCGCCTCACTTAACACCCGCACAGCAGCATGCACTCCATCAACATTTACTGCTGCAACACCATCATCATCAACAACAACAGCAACAGCAGCAGCTTTCACCCAACGGCGGCGCGCCTATGCGCCAGGATATACAAGATATCATACAGCGTTTGCACAGTTCCGCCGCCGCCGCAGCCGTCGCCAACTTGAGCGCACATTCCACAAGTCCCTACAGTCCGCCACCACCATCAGCGCAAGCACGCCATAATGTCTCGCCCGAGGAGGTGCCGTCTGCATTGACGCAAATGATGCATTTTAAACGTGAACGTTCGCCATTGTCGTCGGCCGCTGAAGAGGCACAAAATCCCGCACAACGTCAGCACATGAATCCACAACAACAACAACAACATCCGCAGCCACCACATACGCCACCAAAATCGGTTTCGCCACCCTCTTCGCATCCCTCATCGCCGCCTGCCATGCTGCCCGGCAGTCCAGCCGCAATATCAACACCTACACAGCAAACGCCACCATCACATCCCACAACACCGCAATACCTTAAGCCGCCAACAGCACTAGGCGCCGGTCCGGGTGCAATGATTTTACCCGGCTTACCACATGCGCCCGGCTTAGTGCGTCCATTTCCAGTTGTTGGCCCAAGCGGCGTGCCACCGCCACCACCGCAGCAAGGTATGCCCGATATCAAGGCACTGCCGCCATACATCAACGCGCCACCACCGGAGCTCCCACCACAACATAATCCGCACTTAATAGCCGCTGCGCAATTTCAAATGGCCGCCGCTTTGCAGGGACATGTGTTGGGCGGCGGTTTGCCACCACATGCCTCACCATTCATGGCCGGACCCGGTATGCCACGTGACAGCTATCCGCTATATCCATGGTTGCTGAGCCGACATGGACGCATCTTTCCACATCGCTTTCCAGGAAGTAAGTATTCGCTAAGACTTTCTTACTAAATTTCAAATTCCTCTTAAGCTTAAACTACAAAAACATTTTTTTTATCTAGTATTTATACTAATGAATCATTCTTTCTTACTTTTTAGATTTCCTACTTCAGCCTTTCCGCAAACCAAAACGCATACGCACCGCCTTCTCACCCTCCCAGCTGCTCAAGCTGGAGCATGCCTTCGAAAGTAACCAGTACGTTGTTGGTGCTGAGCGAAAAGCACTCGCACAATCGCTCAACCTGTCCGAAACACAAGTGAAAGTGTGGTTCCAGAACCGTCGTACAAAACACAAGCGCATGCAGCAAGAAGACGACAAGGGCGATGGCTCACACTCAGATCGTAGCCGAAACCCAGCTAGCTGCGATGAGGATGACGATGATGAGCTCATCGATATGGAGATGGATGACTGCCCGAGCGACGATGAGCACGAGCTCGATGCGAGTCACTGAAAGTACTACTACCCGGAGCCCGCCAGGGCAGGTGGACGCACAACAATATGTGTAAATAGTGAAAAAATCGCAAAGCACTGCGAACTGTATGCATGGATATGAGAGTTCCTTAATTTATTGACATGAAGCACAAAATAGTTATGTGTGTGTATGTACGGGTGTCAAGTGGTGATTGTAAATAGTGAAGACGGCGTTGCAAGGTAGTGACGAAAATAATGTGATATAAACTTAAATATGTATGAATAAATTAGGAAAATGGCTAAAGTAAAATTCAAAGCGAACAAATAAAGAAAATAGACTATTTTAAGATTTTTAAGTATTTAATTATTTAGCAAAAAGTTGAGTGACCTAGAAAATGAAATGGCGAATATTTTTTATTGTAAATATGAAAAAAATTATTATTGCATAGGGCATTTGAAGTATTAATTAAACTACAAAAAATGTAAAACAAAAAAAAAAATTTAAAAATTTTCAAAAAAAAAATCTTTAAACACTGCAACATACAACAGTTGTATATAAAATCAGTCGAAAGTTATCGAAATAGTGAAATTAATCAGTTTTAACTATAAAAATGTGCCAAATCTATAACGGTTTCGCATACATATTTTACACAGAAATCTTATTAAATGAACAAAAAATTCATTTAATTTTTTTTTTGTGAATTTCCAAGGTTAAATTTAATTTGTTTATATGTATGTATCTTCAGCTCCTTTACAAATCACAAGTACAAGTTAAGTCCCGAAATTCATAGTTAAAATTCATTTAGTAATATTTTTAAGTGCAGCTAACAAATTATATGTAAAATATTTGTACATTATTTAATAGGCTTAAGTGCGTGAATTTATTATGAAGAGTGAAAAAATAAACAACAATTAAAAAATTATAAATCGAGATTTTTTATTATTTTATATTATTTTTGAAACATAACAGCCATCGAGGAACGGTAAATAGTTCAAGTTTTGAACTCAGCTACTGGCAAATTAATTAGTGAAAATATTTAATGCCACAATAAGATGACTTTTAATCACTTCGAACTTTAAAAAAATATGTAATTTTTAAAAAAGCGATGAAGGTTTGATTTTGTATTCAATTAAAGGCTCCAGCGGTTTTCGTTGAATATTCTTTTTAAAACATATTAGCGACGGGACATGCGTACATTATCACCGTTATTATCGATGACCTTATGCAATTGTTCGATTAGTTTCATGTTGTTGTTGTTGTTGTTGTTGATGTTGGTGTTGGTGTTGTTGTTGTTGTTGATGTTGGTGTTGGTGTTGTTGTTGTTGTTGTTGTTTTTGTTGTTGTTGTGACGGTTCGAGTAGTTTCATTACTCCATTCAGTGTATAACTTCTGCGGCTTATCTGGGTAGTACTTGGCCAAATGATTTTCAGCGTCTCCTGTGACGGCCAATTTTTAACCATCAAGAGAGTTTCACGGAGGCCGAAAAACATGATTAGTCAGCTGGTGCTGGTGCAAGGTCCGGGCTGGTCATAAAATTTGTATGGGCATGAAACACAACACCCTTTCTGTTGATACATTTTTGATGATTTTTTTTTTAAAGCAGCTTAACTTTTGGCAGTTGAGCTCTGAGTTTCGCCAGAATGTAGCAATCCAATATCACTTTGTTTGCCATCTATACAGTCTTTGTAGTTGTTTGTGGAGCGTTACTGGGCTTTAACTAATTTTTAATCGTCCTTGAAATTGTCTGATTTTGTCGTGTTTCAGAAACATTTCACTGATGCTAATTCCATGTTTACGTTAATTCTTGAGGATTTCGAAAATTCAGTATTTTTAAATGGTTTCAAACTGTCATGTGACTAATGACTACTGCGTACGCTATCTCCTGTTAGCTTGCTTGCCAATTTCCCTTCAGCAGCAGCAGAATTTCATCGGCTTGATTTGGAGTGACTGACCAAATGTGAAAGAGATGCAACTTTGACATAAAAATTTCTGAAATCAAGCAAACTACTCCTGGGAGCGGAGTTCAGTTTTCGGGAATTCTCACCTCAAACGATATTCAGCGCTATTGCCTTTTTTATAGTAAGAATGCATAATATAACGTGTTTCTTCGAAAATTTTACTTAAATTCAAATAAGTATTATTTTTCACATGTTTTATGGTAAAGTGTTGGCGAAAAATATTTCAGCAATCAAACAGCTGTTCGCAATAAGACTGTCATTTTGATGAAACCAGGAAAACTTCTTTCCTCACCCAACATTTATGTACAATATGCACATAGAGCTCTAGATAGCCGGGTATCGAGCTGTACGCACTCGCGCTACTCAAATCTTTGTTTGAAAATTTTCAAATTCGTTTGTTCGAATTTCTCTACCATTTCCATAAGTTTTACATTTTGTATAAAAAATTCGAAATTTAATAAAAAAAGAATTTCTGAGAAAAAAGTCAAAAATTGTGAGCAATGAGCAACAAGCGAGCACTCATTGAAACTGCTCAAGCCAAAATTCACACGGCTAGAATACAAAAACAAAAATACTATATATTTTGTTTGTATAATTTTTTAAAATGGAAGGAAGAACAAGCAATCATGTGATGTGACAACTTCACCTTTTATGAATTCGCCTTGGAACTGATCGAAAATGTTCAAAAACAATTTTGAGCTATACTAAGTACGTCAATGTTAGAAGGTTTGGTTGTTTTCGAATTGAAAATAATTGAAAAAGCCGAAAAATCTAAAAGAAAACATCTTTTTATGAAATACAATAACAAAAACAAAAATTATTATCGAAATTTTTTTACCTACAAATTGTACCTATAATTGTAAATAAGTTGTATAGCGGAATTATATGCAGGATGAGATGAACTATTATATCATCCAGATGTTGTCTGGACACGGTTACTTCCGGAATTACTTACATAAAATTGGCAAAACAGAAGATCTGTTCCGCATATACAACGACGCTACCGAAGACAGTACTGAGCACACATTTTTCAAGTGGAAAAGATGGCAAACGGACCGATAGGCGCTGGTAAACCTAGTGGGACCTCTGAATGCGGTCAACAGCGTTTCTGTAATGCCTCAGAGCTAACTGGAAAAATATGTAAAGAATATACTGCGCAAGAAAAAACGGGACCTGGACGCAGGTGCTGAGATGTAAATTTCAAGATGAGAAACATGGAACGCCACCTTGAAGTTCCTGGGCTTGCGACGGTTCCTCAGAGGAGAGATTTTTAGTGACCCGCATGTGGCGCATGGGATTGAGGTGACAATACAATGATGATGCGGAAGGCATTTTTCTTCTCCTCACCCCCCCCCCCAGAAAAAAAAATTATATGCCCATGTATGAAGGTACATATGTAAATTTTGAAAATGTTGTAAGTCATTGTTAGTGTTCTTTATTGCAAAAAGTTTAAATTAAAATAGAAAGAGAGAACGCATATTTTTGGAATACTTCTTGCCAATTTTTGGGGGAAAAAATTTACAATTTGTTGATATTCTCAATTTCAAAATAATAATAATAGGAAGCAGAAACAATTAAGTGACTCGACTACTCTTTCTGAAAGAAAGAGACAATTTTTATCATGAATATTTTTCGATGATCGAAAGATGTGGTTTGAAATATAGAGCAAAGCGGAATTGAAATTAAAATTCCCGTTGCTGTCAAATTGCACTTAAAATTTTAAAAATTTGTGAGCTAAACTTTATTTGATTTCTTCATTCGAAACTACACCAGTAATAAAGTCGAGGTTTAAGGGGCAAAGCCACTCTGGAGTTTGAAAAATGAACTCAGTTTTTTTGAACGGCATTCACGGGAGAACCGATTTCTTCTAAAGGTTGAGACCTAGAACAGAAAAGCAAATAGATTTATGATCTACAAAATATGGTATTTGGTACGTACTTGTACGGATTAATTTTCCAACTAATTTTTGTAAAAGCGGCACACTTTTTCTTAAAAAAGATTGATTTTTGACAAAAAATATTCGCTAAATTGTTAAAAAATTAACATTTAATCGAAAAACCGCTACGTACTTCCAAAAAAAAATTTTGAAGCTACCATTCAAATTTCAGATTAAACGATCGGTTCGAATAATCTTCCCTTCCTGTATGAAAAATGTGATTTTGAGAAAAAAGCGTTGAAAGTTTTCATCGTACTCAACGCACGCTCTGAGGGGCTGCAGTGAAATGAAAACACCAGCTATTTGAATTTTTTTTTCAGTTTAAAACCAGTTACATATCATTTCTAGGACCCAGAGGCATTCTGGGAGCGAAACAAAAAATGCATATTTCAAAATCCTAGAGTTGCTTTACGCCTTAAACGAGTTGAAGCTAGTAAAGCTGACAAAGTTCGAGAGAAAATGCATATTAGATCCCCAGACATTTCATTACAGCAACAACAAGTTATTAATTTATGCACACGCAGAGTAATTAGATTAACATGAATTTTATTTAATCGATTATTAGTAAAAAAAAAGTAGCGGTGGTACAACGTCGATCCTTTTGTAAATGCAATCACATGAAACAAATAAACTAATCGTAAAAACCCATCAGCCTGGTATTTCTGCTTTTGTTCAAATCGCTTTTGTTGATATTGCAGCAAGTGGCTACCATCTTTTTCAGTCTTACTTACTTACTTTACTGGCTTAGGTGCCAATTGGAAATACCAAGTACAGCCAGGTCCAGGTGCTCTGCTTCCGGCGGCTGGTACTGCATTGAAGGCTTTCAAAGCTGGAGTATTCGCATCCACACGGATCACATGACCTAGCCAGCGTAGCCACTGCTTCTCGATGCGCAAAACTATACCAATGTCGCCGTATAATTCGTACAGCTCATCGTTCCATCGTCTGCGATATTCGCGGTTTTCAAAACGCAAAGGACCATAAATCTTAAGCAAAACCTTTCTCTCGAAAACTCCTAACGACGACTCATCAGATGCTGTCATCGTCCATGCCTCCGCACCATATAGCAGCACGGGAACGATTAGGGACTTGTAGAGTTTGGTTTTTGTTCGTCGGGAGAGGACTTTACTTTTCAATCGCCTACTCAGTCCAAAGTAGCACCTGTTGGCAAGAGTGATTCTGCGTTGGATTTCAAGGCTGGCATTGTTGTTGGTGTTAATACTGGTTCCTAGTTAGACGAAGTTCTCTACGACTTCGAAGTTTTGACTGTCAACAGTGATGTTTTTGAGAGGAGATATTTCGTATTGTCCTCGCTCACTACCAGACCCATTCGCTTCGCTTCTTTATTAAGCCTGGAGAAAGCAGAACTAACGTTGCGATTATTGCGACCAATAATGTCAATATCGTTGGCATACGCCAGTAGTTGTACGCTCTTGATGACGATTCTACCTTCTCTATTCAGCTCTGCAGCTCGTATTATTCTCTCCAGCACCAAATTGAAGAAATCGCGGGAGTTATTGATACGTTTAACTAGTTTACTCAGGTGTTAAGATCAACTAATCGTGCCACATTGACATCCATAAGGACGCCTGTTACCCCTCCATTCACCTTCCACTAACTGAGGCATAACAACCGTTTATGATAAATTGATAAATCACATAAAATCATTTAAATTGTACATATTTAATTATTAATTTAACACACTAAGTGAGTTGTCGCAAATGAAAAGTAAATTTATGCGGCAAAGTGCAAATTATAAATATGTATGGCTAAACAATGAATTGTGGGGAAGGA